TCTGAGGTATAAACAGAGCTAATCTGTGATTGATCTATTAGTTTTAGTTGCCGTTTTCTAGTAGCGTTACATAACACAGAAAGATCTCGTATTTGGGAGAATAGATGAATTTAGGGGAAGAGTGCCAAATCTAGAATGTTAATTTTGAGGTCACCAATTACTTTTTTAAAGCAGCTATCGTATTTTCTTATATCTTACACACATATATATATTATACCAACTAAACATTCCGCACCAGTAAACATCATTAAAATTTGTCCACCAGTTCTTGAAATAGAAGACCAAATGTGAAAATAGTTTTAATTTTGAAGAGCACTTTATCTAAATAAGTACAAGACAGCAGATGACTTTCAGCGCTTCACCAAATGGTTCCAGCTACTACAACTTCTAGTTTCCTGAGTTAACGATTAAAAATCCTTCAGTAAATTCTATATTGGCACACAATATGGATGCAGCTGGGTGCTTTATGGCCAGACCAGCGCCAAGCCTAATCAGCGACGTCGTGCAAATATCTAGCGAACGCCTTCATGTAGTGACGATATTAAAGGGACATTGTTTATGGTTAATATTTAATATGAACCATTATTAACAGAATAATATGAAAAACCGGAAACATTACATTTATATGTTTTGTCTAAATATACAAATTTTTTGTGCTTTGTTAAAACCCACACTCAAACATATTTATTGAAAAATTATACATATATTTATGTTATAAAATGTCGCCCAAACGGTATAGTGGTTAGCGTTGCTAACTGCCCGGGTTCGAAGCCAAGAGAAGACATGGATATTTGTAAGTGTATACTGCCCGTGCGGCATGTGGGCACTCCAAATATGGAAGGTGAAAGTCCTCTCGAAAGGCTGTGGTAGGGAAAGCGGGGTGAGAGACGCTCGGACCTCTCCTCCCAGGGTGCTCTCCATCAAAATTGGGGGGGGGGGACTAAGTTAAACCACACTGTCACCTGAAAGGTGCTCAAAGCTGTTGCCAACGACAGGCGTATCTTGCGCTCCTTACCACGAGGAATTCCGTGGGCTTGGGCTAACTATAGATCAGACAAGTGAGCATTTAAACAACAGCAACATGTTATATAAAAGAAACACTGCAAGCGAAGCGAACTAATATACTAAACGCATTGGATACCAAATGTATTACTGAACACTATTATTTTAAAATTAAAAATGAATTAATATACATATCTAATGAGTTTGCGCTAAATAAACTGTTTTTCGCAGCGTAGTTTACGACAAGGTTCAAACTGTAATTACAACAGGGCACAAAAATCCTCTAGGGATATAGCTAAAATTCTTTCCAACACACTGCTATGTTGTTGACAACGATATAGCGTAGAGTTTCAACTGGCGATGCTACATTTCCTCTAAAAGTGTTCATCTATACTATTTATATCGCTTTGATTTTTATCAGTTAATGCTTTTTGCAGTTTTTAACAGCAAGTTGAGCTGATCTTGTAATTATAGTAACCTTGTAATCTTGTATTATGAATATACGTCATAATGAGGCCTATGTAAGGGTACAGGAGGCGCCCTAAGAGCGTTCGAAAAATTGCTTAGTCCTTATTTTGTGTCTACTGTTAGAATCGTAGTAATTCGTGCAACATTTATCCTTTTTGTGATTTTTTTTTTTTTTTTTTTTTTTTTTTTTTTTGGATTGCTTGTTGCTATTGTTATTCTACATAAAAAAAGGGTAAGTGCAGTTACATATTATGTTAAACTTAGGTTAGCTTTTTAATTCAGAAAAGCGACGATTTGAGCATTAATTACTCGAATTTTGTTTTTACATGAACCATCTCTTTATTAAGCTAAAAATTATGATCTTCCGAGAAGAAGGGGTGACATATTTACGGAGAACCACTGAACAAAATATACCTATTTCAGATTTGAGGTGAAGTAAAAATATACAAGGTTATTTCCAAATAAAAAATTGGCCATTTTCAGATTTTTAGCTATGTGGAAAACCCAAGGAAAATGCTTCGTTATTTCATTACGTCTTAAAAACATACGTACTTTAAATTTGATTTATTTACTTTAATAAACAAAAGAGTACTACTACTTCCTTGAATAATTTGGTCTTGATCTAATAGTTCATATATTTCCCAAGCAATGGTTTAAGATATACTCACTTTTTCAGGAGTAAGGTAAAATATTTCAAACAGTTCTTTCCGAGTGTTTTTAAGAAGATGTGTTTTACGCAATAGTTCTTATAATTATTTTCTACTTTTGTTTTTACTTCCACTTTTTCTGTTTTCATTTTTCCCCAGATGTCGGAAGAAAAAAAAAAAAAAAAAAAAAAACGTGTAAGCATCAGAATGTTATGAAGAAAAAGAAAGTGAGACGAAGACTTAATAAACCAGAACTTAAAATTACTCAGTTTTCCCAAAACCCCAATGAATACCCAAGCTAACTCTGCTAGCACTAGTTGTCCATCAACGTCTCAACTACCATTGAAATTACCAAATGAACCTAATAATCACAAAGAGTTAGAAAGTGGCTTCACCCGCGAATTACCTTTAACTTCATTGCAGCCGGTCGAAAGAAACAGAAGAAATACTATTGAGATGTACAATTTCTGCAGTAGATACGTATTTATCTGTGCCTGATGATTCCGGATTATGCTTAAGTCCATTACTGCCATCCCAAGTTCAAGCTTGGTTTCGAATTTCAGTTTCCCAAAAGACAAAAAATGGACGTAAATTTCTTTAGATGTACTTTTGCCGAATCTTGCCAAACAAAGAAAACGTTAATCCGATTTCTTAGAACGATTACGAAAGAATAACTTGTTAATTCGGAATTTCAAATTTTATTAAGAAAAAGAGTCTAAGCAGTGGCGCGATGTTATTAAAACAATTATCTATGCCATTCAGTTTTTAGCCAAACAAAACAGTCTTCCGTGGTTCCAGTTACAAATTATTCGAAAGAAATAACAATTTTTTAAAGTGTATATGAGTTTCATGTCACAAAATTTGACCCTATCATGTCTGTATAAATTAATAAAATTCAAACTAAAAAAAATATGCTTCATTACCTTGGAGATAAAATTCAAAATAAAACAGTTAGCTTATTAGGGAATAATATAAAGCAAACTATTTTAAATGAGGTCAAACAGGCAAAGCATTTTTCTATTTTACTTGAATTTCTATTTCACTTGATTGTACCCCTGATGCCAGCCATCAAGAGCAGATATGAATTTGTATGAGGTATCTTAATTTAGAAAATACAGACATGAGTATTCAAGAAAGGTTTTTATTATTTTATATTACAACAGATACCAGTGCCGTAGCTAGGATTCTAGCGTCCGGGAACAACTGAAGAATTTGTGCCTCTTTCTATGTGCCAAGAATGGGAAACATTTCATTAAAAAATTTCGTAGCATCAATTTGGCGTCGCTTGGATGCTGCGCCCGGGAACAGATGTTCCCCCTCGCCCCATCCTAGATACCCCACTGACAGATACTAGGGGTAGAGGATGAACAACATTCTTATAAAAGACTTTAGATAAAAATGGTTTAGATGTTAGTAATTTACGCAACCAAGAATACGACAATGGTTCAAACATGAGGAGGTAAACAGCTTTCGAATAATTATGCTCAAATCGTTGCTTTTCCGAATTAAAAAGTTAACCAAGCTTAACATAATATGTAACTGCACTTACCTTTTTTTCATGCAGAAAAACAATACATACGCTACGGCATTAAGTACTTTCCCGTTCAAATAAGGCAGAAGAGAACACCGGGGACAAATTCCTGCCCTGGTTATAACTTTCAGTCAAATAAGACAGTGTGCTAGGAGGGAGGGACACTCAGACCTGGCAAGTTCAAGCTGCCTTAGCACAGTTAAACGCCCCAACCCCTATAAGTGATCCAAAGGCCTCTAACTTATCGGTCGAACCGACGAGATGAGAATAAGCTGAGTCGACAGGAATACTCAGCAACTCACATTCCACGTTCTCGTTCTGGAGAGGATGGTAAAAACATCTGTCATTAACAGGGGTCCCAATCCCGGATAGCAGAACGAAGTCACTTAAAACTGTCAGACAGACCGGGCCACCCATCCGGCCTGCCAACATTACCTCATGGTACACAGATGTCGGGTTCAGGCGTCACCTAGGGAAATCAAGGAAGGATTGCAGTTTTGAGGCTCCAGGCGCTCACTGGAAACCTCAAGCAGATTAAAGGCTTGCTGAATTCGCCAACTCCATGGACGGGGGTGTTTCATCCCGAACATTTGACTATGTACGTAGCTCCACCACAACCAACGGAACAGACAAGTCAGTACCATACGGTCCCTGTCGAGCCTGAAACAGCCATCGCCAGCGATGACTCCAGTCCTACGGAGACTGATTTTTAAACACCCGTGGCCTAGACTGCCTAGGTACAGATCCTAATCAGTAGCTTCCCAGGTTTTATTTGAGTCGACCCCCGGAGGGGCGTTCAAATAAGACAAAAATTTTCCTGTTCAGAGAGGGAGCGAAACAAACTGCTTGTTTTAACGATTGCCCGGCGCCTTTTTGACTCAGCACCGTCGTGCGCCCCACGACCTTGCACTTATTGTCGGCGCGGGCCTGTTTATGGCGAACTACCACATGTTTTTCTCTCAAATGCAAATCAGCTCTCTATTTAAGCTCAACCTAATTTCCACTCTGGCTGATAGAAGAAATAGAAGGAAACAGAAGAGAATTAACATAGCCGAAAACAGTTAGTAATCGTCTGAACTCTTTTAGAGAACTTTTATCGATGGAAACATGTAAAAGTCATCTAAATTTGAAGGGTTTATTTTTTGTTGTTGTTGCTTTGTTTGGTGTATTCACAAAAAATAGCCTTTATCTGTGTATTGAATCAGTTTTAAAGGAATTGCGGATTAGCTTGATAATCGATAAAAATGAGATAAATATATCTGCATGATAATTATGTGAATCACTGGGATTTCCCAGTAATCTCTTATTTTATGTATTTTTAACAAGCTCTGATTGACAGAAGAAACGTATTTCTCACGTGTGAAAATTTTAAATTACGTATTATTTTCTAAAACTACGCGGTTGCAATAGTAAAGGAAAACAGTATTTTACCTCGTTAGTTAATCTTCTATGCAACTTTGCATGGATATTCTGTTGAAAAGGTAAGTTTCTAAACCAGTATTTTTTTTTCACACTTGAAGAATATATTTTGGATAAAGCTATTATTGTTCTGTTTAAGATTAAATTCTATCATCTTGTCGTTTTTCTTATTGATATAGTATAGTATAATTTGTTATTAAATGTATACTTGAAGCAAAAAAATGTGCAACGATTATTATAAGAATGGAACATTCGAATTCTCGAATGACTCCACTCCTGTAAAAGATTCTAAGTTCAGAAACTCGAATTTTCGTATCTTTTTCTTTATAATATGAATCTTTTGTATTCTAAACTGAACTATTTTTATATTTTTAAATTTGCAACTTAAGAAAAATATTTTTCTCGCCCAATAAAGTGTTGAGAAAAGAGTATTTTTTAAATTTTAATTAATTTATTAATTAAATTTTTAATGCTGTAGAAATGTTCATAAAAAAATAAAGAACCCGTTTGTTGCAATTTCAGCAGACTTCACTTCGTATCAATGTGAGTGCCCCATTCTTAATTTTCAGCAGAAAATTTGCTCTACTAAGCCTTGTTAAACCATGATGGTGGTACAGGTAATTTAGATCAGTCATACATATGTTAAATCTCAAAATAATCTTCCTCCCTTACTTCTATACTGGTTTCCATTTTAAAAGATTCTGGAAATCGTAAAAATTTTGAATTTTTATCAGACAGAAAAAAAATAGATACATATTTGCCAATTTATATCGAAAGATGTATCTCAAAATTCTAGAGTTTTAATTATGTATTTCAATTGATTAGTTTCTTCTGTATCTTCTTAATAAATAAAAGCGCATTTAAAAATATTCTTAATATTTTTATCAAAGGTATACTTAAAATTTTGCTTTAGTTAAAACTTTTAAACTTTTAATTTGAAGTAAAATCTTTGCTTATTATTCTTAAATCCTCTACTCATTAGTTCAAAGCAGCCTAGACCAAATTTCAAGTATTGAAAATTATATAAATTACTACAATCTTCTAAGAAATTATCGTATTCCCCTCATGCGTTCTTTTGGGGTGTAAATGATTAGCATGTCAGACTGTGGTTCGAATCTTTCAACGGTACAGCTGTTTTCTTGCATTTCTGTTTGAGAGAAAATCCTAAATATCCCAGAATGATGTCTTGTCTGGAATGTGGCGGACGATAATTTGTCTACACCTAAATTTAATCGACTGGATCTTACGCCCTTCCCCAGTCACCTTTTAAATGGGGAAGACTGAAAGAAATTATATCATATTTCTCAGGACATGCTGTCTGCTGTAAGTGGTTAGCACGTCCAAGTAATTGGAAAATTCATTATTCGAATTTCGATGACGCCACAGTTGATTTTACAAGTTTCTGAATCAGATAATTCTAATGGTTTCTGCAACCTTATCTGTTATATTCAAAATAAGTAATTTAGCGGAAAAATTAAAAAATTGCATAAAAATTATCTGCGTAAATTATTGCGAAAATCTTCTAATAAATCGAAGTATTGAACACTGATAAAAATGTTTCTCTCATGTTAGTTTCTTGAATGTAGCGTTTATGAATCCAAGCACAGGTTGTGATCCACATTAGAATGCTCTTGGAATTATTGCAGTATATACCATTCTATTCTTAGACATATTCCATCTGACATATATCTATTATTATTATTTTTACTTCCTTGTGCGAAGTAAATAAAGGATTAAAATCGCGAAAAATGTCGGGTATCACATTTCAAAGAAAATATCCATTTTGACCGCTCTTGAATCCCTTTGAGAGAAGTTTTTGCGTGATATCTGTACGTATGGATATAAAAAATGCATCTTTTTCCCGAAATGGAATCAGAAGAGATTTTTGTCTGTACGTACGTACGTACGTATGTATCTCGAATAACTCAAATACGAGTAGCCTCAGAACGTTGAAATTTTGTACATACAACTGCTATAACACGTAGTTGTGCACCTTCCTTTTTGGTTGCTATCGGTCGCACCAAAAGTATGTAAATATATATATATATTCAAAATAAAGTAATTAAAAGTAAATTAAAAAGCCTATGACTAAAGCTATGACTAAAGCTGCAAAGAGTGAACTAATAATTCAAAATAATTTATAATAAGAAAACTTTCCATATACCATCTCCAAGGAACACGAATTCAATTTAAAACCATGAATGAAAAATACTTTTTTAGTCAGAATTTAAATTAGTATTTTAAATAGTAATTTCAAGTTCTTGTTTAAAAATCTGCTAAGAAAAATCTGAAATCGCAAAAATACCAGAACCATAAGTAAATTCTAAGTATTGAAAAAGTAGTTATTGTCATTGATCGCAGATTAATCGATTTATCAAGGGGATAAACCAATCTACCATCAATTAACAACAACAAAATTAAAAGAGTGTTTCATCTTACTTCCAAGTAAGCATCAAATGATTTGCTAGATTCAAACCATACGTCAAAATTAATACTCAGTCCAAATAAAGACATTAGTCCATTTAAGCCAAGAATCTTGTTAAACAAAATAGCAAATAATCTTAAATTTAAGAACAAACACCATTAATCTGAATGAGATGCTTACTTTAGAAGACATATCCCCTATACTCTCATTTCAATTTCACAAACAGAAGTAAACATATGAGAACATTAAAAGTTAATTAAAAATCATAGGAAGATAAAACATAATACAACCTCAAAATTAAAGTTTAAAACATGTAGTTAATTACAATTTTAAAAATAAAACTAGTGAGTTAAAATTAACAAACTTATCTTCAAAACTTAAAGACCAAATGGCTGGAAATTCAGGTATTAAGTGATGGAAGTATTAAGAAAGTTTATTCTAAAATGGCAATTCTAAAATGGAATTCTTCTTGGAGATAATACAGGGAGAGTAGGCTGTTACTAAAATAGCGCTAAAAGCTATATATATATATATATATATATATTTATATTCACTCTGTTACCTTGGTCAGTGAGTTCAAGTTCTTTATTCGTATATGTTGGTAAATTGCGCATTTTTTGCTTTAAAAGTGATTGAATTACGTTTTCTTATGTTCGGGTTAAATGTTTTAGGCCTTTAATAAATCTGCATGCAATCGTTGTAGAATTATCAATAATTTAATAGTTGTTTAAGTGCAACTAAGCCTAACATAGCTGCCATTTATTTACATTTAAAACTCTTTAGTAGAATAATGAGTTAAGTCAATTTCTGCACCTTAGTGTCTTTTTGCCGAGTGAGACCAACAGTTTTGTGCACCGAAAAATCTACCTTCTTGCCTGGTAATTGCTTGTTTTAATGTAGAAATTCCAATTTCAGTTGTAAAAACTGTATTTTTAACTGTTTTAACTGTATACGATGTTTTATGTTTTTCTATATTTTACAATTTTTAATGAAGATGTTTAGAGATTTTATGTATTTTTGCTTTACCGCGAAGTGAAAACTGAATTAATTGAATGAGAAATATATCTCTAATGAAATCGGAGGACATAAGTTTAAATGAAATGCGGCCAAAAATGTGCATAATTTAATAGGCCGTACAAGGAAGTCAAGTGGTGTCCATAGCAAAGCTTTTTAAAGTTCATTTGGTATGTTCTTTTTGTTTTGAAAAATATAACAACAATTTAAATATATTCGACTTATGTATGGTAATTTACTCTGCAAATAAAATGAGCATACCCTTTTATCAGACAAACAGAATAAACATGTTATTAAATTGGAGATAGGAAAGATTGTTATTGCAGAAGCAGCACGATGATGGAAAAATTGCGTATTGTACAGATTTTATCTCATAATATGAATACTGTATCACCTGATGACATACGATTCTGCGGAAAGAATTCGTTTGAGACTTGCATGGATATTTTCATGCAGCGTCATGGCTATTAGCGTTCTTTTATTATTACAAAACATTGCTAAGAGGTTACACTGGCAAGTGTCACACTGCTGTGACTAAATACTCTGGATTGTTGACAAAAGTGTCATACAAATATCGTTTGTATATGCCATAGAGTGTGTGCTGTAATTCTGTCGTTTCTGTCACTAAGCATTAAAGACTAATATTTACGAAAGAATTTGAACATTATTATTAAGTTCAAACTTCCTGTTTCTTCTAGTGCCTGTTTTTATGCCTGTCCCTAACTGCATTGCTATCTCTTGCTTGTTATTCCAAAGAGGCTTTCCTTGAGGGTGTGATGCTTCTTTGGCGAAATGAAGCAACTCCAATGATGGAACACAGCAATAACTTTTATTTAACACTAAAAAATGGCGACATACAAACAAGAAGAGAAAACATATTCTATCACTTAAAAATAAATTACATTCTTCGTGCGAGAGTCGCACGAGGCACTCGAGTCTGGTTTCAAATATTGCCATTCACAAATACCTTAATGTTCATCTATTTAAATTATTTAAACTACAAGATTTTAATATTATTTAAAGCTGTTACAAGGGACTATTATTTTCGTTTTGCGATTTTGCGTCGAATCACTTTTAATATCCGTTTCACTTTTCAAACTGTTGCCACCAAATATTATCTCCCTGTAATATATTTGGAGAAATTAAGCAATGAAGAATCTGCATAAATGTATGTATATTTCTCGCATTGTGATAAAACAACGGTACCTAGAGCCATCCAGTTTTGAATGACGTAATCCTACTGCGAATATGGGCATCTGGAAGCCAAATTAGAAATTGGGAATTTGTTTTATTATCGATTTCATGTTTTGTAAAACTTTAACGAATTTTTGGTTAACAAACTCAAGGATTTCAAAGCAAGCAATGGCAACGTTTGACGGAAAAAACATTTTTATCTCCAGCGCGCGAGACTGTGTATTGGAAATTCTAAAGATATGCTCAATTCAATTTGTAACTGTCTTCAAAATTATTTTGCGATATTGCTCTTGAACTGAATTTTATGTTTTTAAGTGCTAAGAACATGATATTTAATCAATAAAGGTAACGCACAAAATGTTAAAAAAACGCCCCTTTGGACGTAATTTAAAATCTGAAACCTTCCAGAATTTTTTAATGTTATTGATGTATTTCGAGAGAAGTTAAATGCGAAATAAAAGTTTAATTAACTGTATTTTTACATATATTTATCACTCAGTAATTTAATTTAGCAATTATGTACTAACCCGTCGACCAATAAAGTTGGCAGAGATCCCGCCTAAGTTGTGCCAAAAGTTCTTGCGAAATTCTGAAGGAAATTAGTTATTTAACAGACAATCAGTGAATTTTGTTGGCCGTATTCAGCTAATATCATGTCCATTAATTCATCCATTTTTCCAAGGGGGATAGGAACCCATAACTTTGAAAATAATCCACTGCTTGCTATTTTGTTGAAGGTTATGTTGTTGCTATTTGTAACTGTCGTCAAGTAGTGTGATCTAGCGTCAATTATGGAAAAGCATAACGTAGCAACATGCTCATAACATCTGCGCTTTCGTCCTGATGTAAACTCGATTAATTCTGAAGTCACCTTTTGTTTTTATGAACGAGGATATAAATTAATTGTCATTGCTTTATTTGTTCTTGCATTTTAGGAGGGGAGAGAAATGGTTGAAATTTGGTACTTGTCTTCTCCAGAATAAGAAGCAGTAGATTATTTTGAAAGTTTTGAGACCTTATTATGAAAACAAGTTAGGTTTACTTTATTTGAATATGGCCAAGCCACGAGGGATACGTGCTTAAGAGGAGGAATGCCTTCGTGGAGGACTTTCTAAGGGAAACTGGCTCGTAATCACTTACACGTGGGAAAAACCATGAAAACCAACCGAGCAGCAAACCCTTTCTCCTGGAATTGAACTTAAGCTAGGTCGAACTACCAATATTCAGCAGTCTTAACCACTCGGCCACTAGTGTGGCTATGATGAAAGAAGGTATGCATTTAATTGACACGATGCGATATTTTACCTGAAAATGGATAAGCAACGAGCGATACAACATTTGTGAGTGCACTCCAGTTCTTTTACAGTTAGTTGAACGAATAAAAATAAAGGAAAAATATCGGATGTGGACACCATTTGACTTCTTTGTGCGCCCATTAAATTATACTATACACATTTTTTGATTCACTTCATTTAAAAACTTATTTCTTCGAATTATTTTTACTTAATTAACCGATCTCTCAAGGTTGAAAATGCAAATTCGAAATTGCAAATTTCGAAATCAAATATCCCGGTCAATTTTTGTCGTACCAGAGTCAAACTTCTTTTAATTTTATTTTTTCATTACGAGTATAAAACTTTCCCAAATATATGTATAAGAAACGGGAGACCACATTAAAAGTTAGATTTTTTTTATTTGTCGAAAATTAATTTTTTTAAAAAATTTGCTATTGCTAGAACATGAATATTTTCGTTATTTAAAACTCTTCTGAAATTGTAAGTGTATGACTATGACCAATGATTGCGAAAATAAAAGCTCGGTAAGGGGAATGGGTCTGCCGATTGCAATAAAAAAGGGGGCTGCACAACTAAATGTTACAGCAGCCCCATATACAAAGTGTCAACTTTTTACGGCTAATCGTTTTTGAGTTTTACGAGGTGCATACATGCACATAAGTACGTACGTACGGGGGGGGGCACAAAAACATTCCCAACTAAAAGAACGACTAAAACAAAACAAAACAAAAAAAGATGCAACATTACATGTTGTACCAGTCCCATACACAAAATTTCAACGTTCTACGAGTACTATACATACCTACGTACAAAAGCCATGAAAAAGGCCTCTGCTGAATCCATTTTACAATCCGTTTTGGAAAAAAAAGTCCTTTATTCTGTCCGCACATACAGACCTCAAGCAAAAAAATCGTCCAAATGGATTTGGGAAATTGTCAAAATTGATATTTCTGTTGAAATATGATACCCGAAATTTTTCGCTATTACGATACTTTTGTTACTTTGTGTAAAGTAAAAAATAGTTAGCTATGACTGACAAAACAGTAATACGTAGACTGGAACCTTTAACTGCGGGAAGGCTGTATTCATAAGTTTCTAAACAGAGCTTCCGGTAAAATGAGTTCAAAAAAAGTAGTAGAAATCGGCGAAATTCTTTTAATAAAGCGAGTAGAATTCGGATTTGTAGGAAACAGTGTCCTTCGCATAGCCTAGATACTATTAAGCCGTGTTATTTCGTTTACGGAATTTTTTTTAAAGATGAGGTATTCGCAATAAAAGCCTGCGAATTTAGCGCAATTCCAGACTCGTACAGGCGTGCATGCTCTTTCGGAAGACGCGTGCTGGACGTTTGAGACAATTTAAATGCTCGCTTACAAGAGATTGTGAAACAAAATGGTGGACACATTGAACACATTCTTCTATTAATTCATTTTCCATGCGCAGACAGCAAACTGTATTCATTTTGTAGTGTTTGGATGATAAATAAATGTGTAATAAACAAAACAAATGGTATGACATTTCATGCGCCACCCTGTAGATACGTTTCTTTTTCCAACAGATTTGTACCTTAAGGTGTAGGTTTCGGAATCACAAGTAGGTTTTGTTACAATCAAAATCGTAAAAAACAACCTTATATTTAGCGTAGGTATAATGAACATCAATCGATTTCGAGGGCAGCTAAAGGTCCCTCCTCATCAGGAGAAAGAAATACATAGAAAGAAGAAAATAGGAAAGAAGAAATAAGAAAATAGGAAAAAGAAAATAGGATATTTCCCCACTTCGTTCCATTATGGTTTCATTTGATGTCAAATCATTGTTTACTAATGTTCCGGTCGAAGGAGCACTAAATTGTCTTGAAACTAGGCTTCGGGAATTTCACTTCACACATACTGAAATTAATGAGTTGGTTTCGCTTACTAAAGTTTCTCTAAGTCAAACCCACTTTGTTTTCCAAAATGCATATTTTCGTCAAGTTGAAGGATTGGCTATGGGTAATCCTCTCAGTCCGGTACTTGCTGACATTTATATGCACTATTTTTGAGATGAAATATTTGATAAATTATCTTTTCGTCTTTGGATTCGGTATGTTGACGACACTTTCGCACTTTTTGATGGTTATAAAGAGGATTTATCCGAGATTCTATCTATTATGAATTCAATTGATCCAGCCATCCAATTCACTCTTGAAATTGAATCCAACAATTCCCTCCCCTTCCTCGATATTCTTATAATCCGCAATGAAACCGATTTTAGCACCACTGTGTACCGTAAACCCTTTGCAGTTTGTTTACCACCCCATGCCAAGTCATTGCCACCCTGTTAAGCAAAAAATGGCTTCTTTTTACTATTATGTTTTCCGCGCGCTAAAAGTTTGTTCCTCTGAATCTTTGCTTACCAATGAACTTAATTATTTGAGAGCAGTTGCGATTGACCGTGGATTTTCTCCCGTGATTATTGATAAAGCCGTCAAAAAATTTTCAGATTCCCATCAAAGAAGACATTTCCACTGTTAGAAATATATCAATGACCTTGTCGTGCTTCCATTTATCCTTCTGTTAGCTATAAAATTGCACGGATTCTCCAGAAATTCAATTTTCAAGTCGGTTTTCTCCCCTATTAATAAAATTCACCCTTCGATTCTAAAAGATTGCGTTTCGTCTTGAATTCTTGGGGAATTTATAGTATATCATGTCAGTGTGGTTTAAGATATATTGGCCAAACAAAAAGAGCGTTGAAGTTTCGTATCAAGGAACATGAATCTTATGTCAAAAAAGGGGAAATTAACAAGTCTTCAATAGCGTATCATAGCTGGACTTTTAACCATAATTTTGATTTTGGGTCTGCAAAAATCCTCCAAAAGGCTTCTTCCATAGGCGAATTGGATTTTCTTGAGGCTTTTCACATTCACAAAGATTTAGAAAGTTTAGTTAATGATTTGAAGTCCAATGCAGTCCTTCCTAATGCCTTTAAAATTCTACTGTCTTAATTCAATTATTTTTGCCGATAGATGGCGTTACCTCCTCGCACTTGGTACTACCAGAGGGTATAAAAATCCGTTTAGTGGTTGCTTTCCATTATTTGAAGTTCAGATTTTGAGCGTAATGTGCATTTGCCCCTCGCTCCCTATTTTAACTTCGCTAATATTCTTTATGCTTGATCAGACAGCCTGGCTCAGTAAAAGTAGGCGGCCAGTGCAACTCTGATTAAAAATATAGTTATATCCACGTGCAGTGCTGATAAGCACCACGTGTTTCTGTGTTTCCTATTTTCTTCTTTCTATGTATTTCTTTCTCCTGATGAGGAGGGACCTTTAGCTGCCCTCGAAATCGATTGAGTGTTTCATTATACCTACGCTAAATATAAGGTTGTTTTTTACGATTTTGATTGTCACATTAGCGTGTTTCTCTTCTAGTCTAGGTTTTGTTACAGTTTTGTGGGCAGTTTTGTCCCTCTTTTAAATAACTTTAATCGTAAAAATTTCTTTAAATTGTAAAGACAACGATTAGCAGCAATAATACGTTTCTTAATTCTGTATTTATACTGTTTTGGAAGTTTTCCTAGTTATTTTAATAATTTTTTTGCTTGACTCTTGTTGTAGAGTTGTCTTATACAGCAAAATAATAATGGGATCACATTATGCGATCACCAGCAATATAGCTAAAAATATATTTAATGCAGAAATATTTTTATTTACCTACCCTGATTAAGAGAAATCTAATTCAACAATTCAATTATACATCAAAATACTTAGCAAAAATAACGCAGTCAGAAATATTTAGCAATTTGTTATTGTGGTGTCATCAGCAACCACACTGTCGATTTGTGTTCTAGCTTTAAACGAATCGAAAGGTTCTAGCTTCCGGTTAATACATCTTTAGTCGCTAGAGTTCAGTGCATAAACTGGTGGATTACTAGTGTTGGGTCATTCAAAAACTAAGCCATTATGAACAGTACAGTAATTCGTGATTCATAATTTTCCTCTCATGCAAACGAACGTCAAATAGTAGACCAGCAACCCGCTGGAACATATATTTAGTGATGAACTTCATCAGATTTACTCGTATTGGGGACTGGAAGATTCGAGCAACTGATTTTTCCTTTTCTTATCTAGGCTCATCAAGTCAATTTGCCGGATGGTATGGTTGATTTTCTAAAACTAATTAAAGCTATGTATTCAAATGTTTCAATTATCGGTAGAACAGATACTGGAACGTCAGAAGAAGTACTGGACCTCAGTTGGTGAGTATGTATTTGACTGTATATTAAAAGTAAATCTTTCCTCTTCTTATAACTGGTAACGAGTTACTTTATCCCGATGAGTATTTTTTCTTTTTTCTCCACTAATTGGTAGGCAGCTCTATATTTGTACAGATTATTAGTTTTATTGATTATTAGTTTTATACATGTGAAAATCAAAGGAATTCGCTGGGGCTCCTTTCGCGAACCTTCTAATTGCCAGTTAGTTTTGCTAATCGCTTGCACCACATGAGACATGAGTATGCAAGGAGGAATGCGATAATTTCTCATTAAATGGCAACGTGGAGAGGAACAAGATTGAGTCTATCAAGTCTAAATGGTTTACAAAAGGGTTTCTTATACTACAAAACAGTCATAATCAAGATCGTAAGAGAATAGACGGTTTCCAGCAACAGATTATTTTTTACTTTAGGTACTTTAGTGGTGACCCGCTACCAAACTCATCTGAGATCTATTTATCCCCAAACTGTAATGTAAAAGCTCTAAAATATTTAACCGCGATGATCCTATTAATGTTTAACAAATACGTAACAATACTATGGTAGCGTCTCCAAGATTGAATTGCTAATCAACCGAGATATCTCACCGATATCTTGCCACATGTTCTTATACTTTGCTACATGTTACATCTCAGTTGATTAGCGACTAAATTTCGGGGACCGCTATAATAAGGAAGTACCTACGTAAGTTATAAACAATTATGGGAAAGCAGTTACATATGGCATATATGTCTGCTGCTCTATCCACAATCCAAGTGTAGTGAAGTTGTAGCCTTTCCGTACATGCTGTTGAGGTGTATGTGGTTATTACATTCGGCTGGCATTTGGAAAATCCGTGGCTCGAGCCTCGGTGAGGTCACAGCTCATTCTTCGGAATTCCTTTTTTTTTGAAAAACCTAACAGTGTCGCTTGAATTTAAAATGCCATAGACTATAAATCGTCACTAGCTGGATTTGGCTGATTGGATGATGTGCATGTCCTTAATCATTGTTTAAGTGGGACATAACCTAAAGAATTGCAGTGGAACTTCGAGATACGAGCACCTCTACATACGAAAAATTCGAGAGACGAGGAAAGTATGTCTCTAAATACGAGCATTGACACGAGTAATGAGCCAGGCTGCTGGTATGCGATTTCCCGATCCGGCTCGACTCTGGGAATTCCTCGTCGGATCACTCAGTATTCTTTGATCTACGTGTTTGTGCGCTTGTCAGTTAATTGTTTATTACATCTAACGTGAAAATAATTATTTCAAGATACCTCCTAAGAAGACTGTTGCCTCAGATAGTGCTGCAAAGAAAAATAATGCAGCCATGGTCGTTGAAATTAAAAAAGAAACCATAGATAAACATAAGCGGGTTGCAAGAGTGACGGAATTGGCAAAGACTTACGGCCTTTCGATATCGACGATCTGAAACTATTCTGAAGAAGAAGGAAGAAATTAAGAAACTTGATGTAGCCAAAGGAGTTACCGTTACTTCCAAGTACCGTTCAGAACTCCTAGAAGCTGTTGTTGGTGTGAATTAACAAGAAGCAGTTAAAAGGTCTGTGTCAGAAGCTATCATAAAGGTAAACTACGGTTATATTATTTACCAGAGTTATTTATTAGAAAAATTAATTTTTATGTTGATATTTTGGGGGTGCGGAATGTATTAACTGGATTTCCCATTTTCGATGGGGAAGTTTGTTTCCAAATACGAGAAATTCGCTATACGAGCTCAATGCTGGAACGAATTAAACTCGTATCTCGAGGTTCCACTGTATCGCATTTCCCCGTGCGTGTATTTGTGGTTGAAATGGTCAACGCATTCATTTGGCAATTGAAAGATTAGTGTTTCGATTATGGTGCAACAACTGATTGAAAGGTCGATGGTATTTGAAAGCGTGCTAGAAACACTCAACGCCACAGAATCAAGTCCCTAGAAAGTACAAGTAACAACGTGGCCTTCAAGCAGGTATAACACGCTCTAAAATTACCCTCCGAAATCTTCGCTTAAATAGCACTTCCTTCTCCCTTAATTTGAATGTACGTGCTCTAACTGATTATCATTCTGGTAGGAAAACGTGGGTGAAAAGAAGAATGAAAGGAAAGTTGCTTTAACTAAAAATTAGCTATTAGTCAAAATAAATAAATCTCCACAGCCCTATACTGTTCAACAGTGCCGAATTGAGACTTTTAGACACTTAAAAGATTTTGGTGCCCCCACTTATGTTTACTCCAGTTTTTTCTTCATTCCTTCTCTCTTGCGGTTTTGATTTAACTGCACCACGCATTCCATAGTGAAAGCGGCAATGGGAAAATTTTTGGCGCCTCTTTCTTGAATACTTTAGAATCTTTTTGTGGCGCCCCCTTTCCCTTTATGCTGTAAGTATATGCTTATATCGTTTAATGCAGTACTGATTCTAGACCGTCGGTCGCCCTAGTGCAAATTAAACTTTTGGCCGCTCTTAAATTTCGCCACTCACGTCCTGTGCACCATATTGCCTCCTGCTAGAATCGGGCCTGCTTTAATGGTTAATCCAGCCTTACTGCTCATTTTTAGATATGATCGTCATCAGCCTTTATAGCACTACGGGCCCCCAGGAAAACCAGTATGTTGGGGCTCCTATGATAACCACTCACAGGAATGAAATGTAAAAGAAATATAAACGTATTTGTATAGGGCTCTTATGTTTGTACGACCCCCAGAAGGACCAATATAACCCTAGTGGTCACAAGGGATTTTGCTAATAACGCTGCATTGCGTTGGTAATAAACAAATAACGCTGTGTTGCTGCCGTTTTTACAAATGAAGGCGGTTTAGCTAATAATATTACAGATTTAGAAAGAATATCATACGTCCGACAGTGGGAGAAATCTTCTTGCAGTTCTCTAAGTTTCGTTTTATATTCGGATATTTGCTTCATTTTTTGGGTGCTTCAAATTTTTCCAAATGCGGTGTTTTATTTGATAATTTATAATCAGATAATTATCCTTCGTCAAAATATATTCTTTCTTAAGGTAAGTTTTCCTCCACATTTTGCAATATTTTCAAAAGATGATCTACGTAAACTTTCACTGTCAATTTTCTCAGTGTAAAATAAAGATTGGAATAAAAAATCCAGATATTCTTTCTATCTTGCTAGTTCTCTAAAACGTATGTCTAGAAAGCGCGGTAATTTGATTCCCTAAATCAAAGAATATTTACAGAATTTTCAGGGACATATCCTCAAGCGGAAACACTGCATTAAAATACTGGACTGCCCTACGCAAAACGGGACGACTTGTCACTTTATTGTTGTCAGAAGTTGCAAGTGAAAAAAGTAGTCTAATTTCAGGATGTAGGAATTTCTCCTAAACGTCTACTTAATCAAATAAAAGTTCAATAGCCATTTTACTTTTAAAAGGTGAAGAAACTAAACACGTCATTCCTACCTACATTGATTACAAGCACATTGTCTTTTTTTTTTTTTTTTTTAATCTTCGAACATTTTGCGGTTTTAAAATATGTGAAGATGACGTCAATCAAGATGGGTCATCAACCCTGAGGAAGGAAACCTGCTGACCTTGGGGCAAATGTGTGTTATGAAACAACCGTCTGACATTATGTTTCATTTTAGTCTGAGGAACGAAACCAGAAGTATCGAATTGCATACTGCTCTGCATTTCAGTTAAGTTCTAAAACTGATAACTAAATATAGGCGGATTCTGAAAAGAATTCTTGATAACGTAGAAGTAATATTGAATTAATTTTTCATATATTGTGATATTTCATAGCGAATGAAGGACATGCAGCTGGCTATAATCACAGTTTGGATTTATCCTCCCAGATTTCGTTTTCTTACTGGAAGAAGGTAAATATAATATTTTACAATGAATTTAATTCTCCTTATGAAACATGTTTAATTTTAAGGAAACATGGCTAAAGATTTCTTATTGTAAAAATTATAATCATTTATCGTTATTTGAATTATTTAGTAGTGCATTGATATGAGAAAATTATATATGCGGTAACGTTCGACCAGCAATCGGCATGTCCGAATTCCGGCCTGTGCCTTGCTAATTTTGACCCGGCCAGTAGCTGAATGGTTAAGGTGCTAACTACTGAAAGTTCGACCCGGATTCGATGCCAGATGACTCTGGCTGGCCGCATGGTTACTTTTCGTGGTTTTTCTCCATGTCTAACATAAATACGAACCAGTTTGCTTAAAATGTCCTCCATGAAGGCATCCTTCCTTTTAGGTAGGTAATCCTCAAGTGCTCTACCATATTCAGATAATCAATAATTAAATCCGGTTTACCAGGGATACGCCCGTGGTTAACTTAAAATCATGGTAAATCCGAGGGCAGTTAAGAATAACAGAAATTGGAATAACCCATAATGTAATTAACAGAAAAGTGCTGTTAATATTTTACTTGTATTTTTAAATTATTTAATATGGGGAATAGGTTCGATTGGATTCGTAATAAATTAAATCAATATTTCAAAATATTGTTAGTTCTTTCTGTCTCCTCCTATGCCTGCGTACGTAGTTTTTTTTACATAATTCCGCGATGAATAAACTCAAAAAAATTTTCTTTCGAAAAGTCCACTTCCGGAATTGACTGTAATTAAGAAATATGTCATATAATTTATGAATGAAATTATAATTTGATATTTTTGATAAGCATATAACAATTTCAAATGAAGTTTTTTTGTAGCGTTTCGAAGAATACTTCATCCATGCGTCATTGTTTTTGGTTTCGATAAAATCACATCCGCGATAAATACATGTTGTTGCCAATTGGTGATAGATAAGATCTTTCTTTTATTTTCAATATTATAAAAGTGCGTTTGCCTAACCCAGCACAGATTAATAATTCTAGGTATTTCTTATTAACATTTTTCTAATCTGCTACTGTGTATCATAAGTATCATAAATGAAACAGGTTCCTGTATTAGATGCTCCGCAAAATTCCAGACTTTGCTGGCGTATATCATCATTCATATTAAAAACAAAATCTGAATAGTTTTATAGTGACTGTTGTAAAGAGAGAAGTAGAGGGCGCTGCTTGGCAGTAGCGCAATGCATGTAAGTAGAAACGAAATATCGTTTTGATTAGGCAACATGATTTCTGTGAAGGTAGTCCGCCTAACAATAGGACAGTTGTAAATATGTAAATATAACGAATAATAAATAGCATTAGAAAAAACTGAACCACCGGATGCTTTGTGTTGGCTCTTTGGGCCGCCATAGTTAAATGCAGGTTCGTTACAGTAACTTAGTAAATAACAAATACCTTTACCTAGTCGCCCCCCTTTTTTTTTTGTTCGAACGATAATACAGTACAATCTCAGTACACGTCCACTATGAAATACCTCCAACTCTACACGTCCTGTTTGAATGCGAAAATTTTGTATGGTATACGATTCAGTTTTGATAAGTCGCGACTACGCGCGCGCTACATTTGTTAACCTCTTTCAAAACAAATGCTACGACTGCATATGAGCGTCAGTACGTCTCTTGTTAACCTGTGCTATAATTTTCAAGTGATTTGTTTTTCAAGTTCCTGTATTAGTGTTCCTTATGTTTGTACATAAGGAACATTAACAATGAGTCATTAACAATGAAGTCATTAACAATGAGTCTTAGGAAAATTAATGAGAAAAGTCAAGCAGCGAAGAAAATGGTTAGGATCAACATGGAGGTGAAAAAGCGATCGTTGAAAAGTATGAAAATGGCATACATATCCGAGATGGACTTTGCTATTGAAGACTATATGCCGAGTACGATGGTATCTACGCTTATGCAAAGCATTATTAATATTGAGAGGATTAAAGGGCGCTTAAGATACCATAGTTAAAAAAATTATAAATTTTGATAAATTCATAAAATTGGATTTAAAAGTTATTTTGTTATGCGATAAATTAAAGCAAACACAAAATCTTGCTTTGATGTTCAAAAGTGTGACACTGACAGAATATCTTGTGTTCGAGATTTGCAAGAACTAACCGTTCTCCTAATAAACTTAAAATAAAATAATTTTACATATAAAATTCCAAAGCGTCATATTTATTTTCGAAATCCGTAAAACTACAACAAACTACAAAACTCACATGGTTGCCACTGTTACAGTGACAAACTATGGGGGAAAAAAAAAAAAAAAATCTGAAATGTTTCAGATTTTAAATTACGTCCAAAGGGGAGTTTTTTAAACGTTTTTGAGTGTTACCTTTATTATTAAATATTCATGTTCTTTGCACTTAAACCATAAAATTCAGTTCAAGAGCAATATCGCAAATAATGTTAAATTAAGCATATCTTTAGAATTTCCGATATACACAGTCTCGCGAGCTGGAGATAAAAGTATTTTTTTTCTATATAACGTTGCCATTTCTCGCTTTTAAAGCATTGAGTTTGTAAATCAAAAAATTCGTTAAAGTTTTACAAAATATAAAATCTATAATAAAACAAATTCCAAATTTGGGATTTCAGATGCCCATATTCGCAGTAGGATTTCGTCATTCAAAATTCGATGGCTCTATGTACCATTGTTTTATCACAATGCGAGAAATAGACAATCATTTATGCAGATTTTTCATTATTTAATTTCTTCAAATATAATGCAGGACAAATATAATGCACAAAATAACATTTTGTGGCAACAGTTTGAAAAGTGAACCGACGTTTATGAGTCCGACGCAAAATCGCAAAACGAAAACAATAGTCCTTCAGGGACAAAGCCCTTTTGGACTAAAAATTGTTTGCCACATCGAATGGCAACAATTACATAGCCGTGCGCATGATAAATAAAAAAATTATGTTTAGTGAAATGGCACCACTTGTTAAGCTGCATTCCGATTAATAATTGAATGAGACCGCCATGAAATCTGTTTATTCATTAAACAATAAGATGTTTTCATGTTGTATAATCAATATCTGTCAGGAAAAAAAGAAAAGTATCTTTCTAGATCTACCATTTTTAAGGTTTCGTGGCATAGGCAAAGGTGGAAGGTGAAGGAAAAAAATTACTATGAAAGTTATAAAATTACTATGATATATAGATTTGTCTGGTTTTAAAGTCACGTGTTTATCTGATAGCAATAGTTTTTTTTTTTTTTTTTTTTTTTTTTTTTTTAAGACATGTACTTACATTATCTACATCATTTCATGGAAAATTTTTTATTCAAAATCCCACGCGATCTAAAGACATAATTGTGGATTATATTGTGTAAAGTCTAATGACGGCCTTTTTCTTACAGTGGGAATATGAAGAGGAATAATGTGAAATACATTGGCCAGTGCCTGAAAGAAATGTCCAGAATTTTTGAATTTTCGAGAAGAAGGCTGCCTGAAATTCCTCCCAGGATGGTAAGTATATGCACTTAACTTCATTTTATATTGATTTTATAGCATAGCGTATAAATAATACTTGTGTATACTTCTTTGATATAGCCGCTACCGGAATGAAAACGGGTACTTACGTATTATTCGCAACCACCTTGGCTCAATTTATCGAATTTTTATTGGTAGAAAAGAATGATGATGTAAATCATCATTCAATTCAATTACAACGACTTGCTTATTACATGCATAAATATTATTACATGTATTTTTTATATTCTGTTTAGGTAGATATCCCAAAATCAAGCAATAAATTTACTTACAAATTTGTTTTATTTCTTTTTTTCTGGTTAAAATTTCGTGCCGTCCTCTAACAACTGATCCAGAAGAATTGTTCTGTTTAGTGAAACTGAAACTGTATCTCGACAGAAATTTTACTGCAGTTTCTTCCATTGCTGAAAAATTGCGTAAGTGCATATTTTGAAATTGAGTTAAGCGAATAAAATATCACAATTCGTCTATGGTCTTACGGAACCCGTCTCCAATGGTCTTTATGACCGCTGAAGGGATCTGTGGCAAATTTAAATTAATTTTGTGTGTGTCTAAAGAATGTTGGGGGAAGGAGATCCGCGAATGGTCTAAAACAGAATAAAATAATTGTCACGCATTTTCATTATAATGGAAGTTAAAATCAATAGCAATAAATAAATTGGAAGCAATTTGTACGTTATGATTAAAATAAAACAAATTATGTCCCTTTTTATACAGATAAGAGTATGAGTAAGCCAAAGAAAAAATCCACACAATATAATGTTGCCTTCTGTGCAATAAGATTTGTCAGACGAAACAATGAAGCTTAAGGAACATTTGACAAAGTCCACAGTGACACAAGTACACCACAAATTCTGGTTGCAAAAATAGATACCAATTTTATATTTTACACAATGGGTCAACTATAGAAAAGTTGCTTATTGCTATCCCATAACTTCTTATTTAGTGGATTTATTGTGACGTTTCTTAGGAGCAAAGTTCCGCTAGTGTAAACGGGCCTTTAGTCCTTAAAGAGACTTAAATATTACTCACAAACATAGAGCCGAACATAACTAATTTTATATTATCACACCAAGTTCACCAATTTCAATAGGGAGAAAAATGTGTTTTTGTATTTTAAAACATAAATTTCAAGAAATAACACTATAATTATTAGAATGTTTTATTTGTACATGTATTTTCACGTTACCATTTATCATTCAAGACATTCACGTTAAATTCGTTGGTCAGGTTTTTGTTATAAGAAAGGGTCCGTGGACATTGGAAGTTTGGGAATCACAGATCTATAAAAACCGTTAGAACTTGGAATACAATAAAAAGGGATGCCTACGAAAATTGTGAGGTTGCCTGAAGAATTGCTAAGCATATGGTTGCTAGAGTTGCTAGAGTAGATCTGACGACTTCTACTAATAAGTAAATACTCGGAAAAATAAAAGCAGACATTAATGGAGCAATGGCAGACATGAATGGAGAATATTTTGCAAACTGAGAGCCAGTTAACCCTTTCCGGCACGCTACCTTTTAAAATCGGAGTTTTGATTAAAAAAAAATAAATAAAATAGGCAGTCTAATTAGGCCTAAAGGAGTACACAAGTAAAATTTTGTGAAGATAGCACTTATCGTTTTAATTTTGTGGGTGTGCCCAAAGTGGCACACTAATTGAATAGAGCTTCGAAAAGAGTGCTGAAAAGAGCATTGTTGTCAATGAACTGACCGAGGAAATGCGGAGAAACAAAGAATACAGACTCAGTTGTCCTAGATTATCGGTGAGCCCGGTCTGGGCACACCTAGGGTTCGCCGTTTAATTTTAAGCAAGATTTCAAGGTAAAAATTTAAAACTTATATTAGTTATATTTCAAAACTTATATGCTAATATCCTTATTCTATATTGAATAAAGAGATTAGCATGCACCAAAAAAAAAAAAAAAAAAAAAAAAAAAAAAACATAGAAATTTCTTTTCAAACAATTCCTGTTATACCCTAAAAAAAATCTGGAAGATTTCTTTGAAAAATGAAGGTCTTAAAAAACTTAACATGGCTAAAATATATGGACTGGTTTGTGTTGAGCTGCCATGTACTATAAATAAAGAAGGTTCAGAGTAACCTATAAATCCTTTTTCATTCAATTTTTCTGTGCGTACAGAAGAAAATTTTTAGTGTGTCCATACCGGACACACTGTGCCACAAAGGGTTAACATATTTTATTATACCGTAACTGAATTCTTTCATTGAGAAGCACAGTGATTTTCGCACGTATAAAATGTACTTCGATGTTACGATGAAAATTACCGATACGTATCCCGATATTCGTCTAGAACAGTCCAGCAAGATCAATGACATGCTTTCTTTTCAATGAAAGATGCTTTCTTTCTAGTATGTCATTGATAGCCAGAAAGATGCTTTTCTTTGATGAATAAAATTCATGAAACTGAGAGGTAAATTTGTATTCGTACTTCTTAAGTATAGATGATCACCTTTTGCATTCACAAAATATTTAAGCAGAGTTGCTTTTTTTGCTTTCACATATGATTTTTATCTCTTCATAATACTAAAATCAAATCAGCTATAGCTTAGGTTTTTGTAATCCTCACTTCATCTTATCGTTGACACACTAAGCAACTTTCTCTCTTCCTAATGCCGAATCCCATCTCATTAACACACTTGCAGATAGGATATTTATTCAGATTCTTTGAGGGCCTAAGCACAGCATTCTTTCTGGTTCCCTATTGCGCAACTTCTTCGTTTTTATGAAGAAAAAAAAAAAAAGAGAGAATGAAAATCTCCCCCCCTCCCTAGTTTATGATCATAGGCCTAAGAATGGGTAGTAATTAAGCTCTGGTTGTAGAACATGTATATAGCGATAACCAAACCCTAGTTGTAGATGGTGGTAAGTAATAGGAGGAGGAGGGTAACAATCCCTCTCAAGAGGAAACTTTTACTACAGGACAAACTGTACATATGCATAGTAATAATGCACTAATAAACAATATTTTTCAGCATAGATGCCATGCTTATCCAAACGTTTGTTCCAACGGTACACCAAAGCACTGATGCCCGCAGAGAAGAAATTAGCGTTAAGCCCCCCGAATTAAGACCAATCGCTAACACATCTTCCAGTAGCCCAATCGTTCTTGAACGATATCATGCACACAGCCCACTGAGGCTTTGAGCTCATTAAAATGTCGTCAAGTCGAATGGACAATTGTCTTGACTCAGAGCTGCAGCAAACATGTTTGACGGACCAGACCATTGCTCATCTATCTGCTTTAATCGAACTCAAACCCAATTTGTTTACGTTGCATGACATTAATGTAAAGTCAGTCAGTCATACCGGTATCGCAGAGATATCGCGCCAGGGTTCGTAGCGGTCCTTATATTTGAAAATAAAATATAAGTGCTTACTTTTTCTTTAAAGCCCTTATTTTTAGTTTTTAGTGATTATTTTTTGCTTTTAGTGCTTTTTTTTTAAATGAATGCGCAATTTTTCCCCGTACCAAAGCCGAAACTAAATAAACAACTTGTGTTCCTAATATGGAATGTCAGATGGTGAATCGTACTCCCGAAAATAGCTTTTCCCGCTTTCTCTGCATAAACATAACCTTTGGTGTGCGCAGAGAGTACAGACAGGTGCCCGTCGTTCTGTTGGTCAAAGAATTGCGAAAGCAGTAGAAAATTCCGGTACATTCGGCATTCTTTTTCCTCCCACCCAAATACTACACACGTTTGAATTTCTATCAAGATCTTGATAATTTGCATTCTCGTTCCGCTTGGTCAGTTCATATCCGTGTTTGTTATGATCGTTATGCTTATATTATGAGCATATGTATGAATGTTTATAATAACATAGTTGCAGTAAATGCTGAAGTATAGTAAACTTCCGAAAATTGTTGTTTTAACACAGATTAGCTTTCTAAGGAATAATATTCGGAATGGCTTAAATAAAGGGAAAGTAATCGAGTAGTCAAAATAATTTCATTTTTTTGGCCAATACATTACACAATACGAAGGTTGGGAGGTTCTTCCCTTTCTCCGCAAAATCTCGAATATTGAAATTGTTACAGTTCGCTGCAAAACAAGCAACGGACTTTTTTTTTTTTTTTTTTTTTGTCACTTTCCAATCTGGATTGAATAGGACTAAAAGTTCTGCGACCCAAGCGTCTACCAACCCAAGCGAAGAATGATTCTAATCCGGAAATTTAACGCAGTCTGTTGAAAATTAGAATGGAAAACACCCCAGATTGGTAAGTCTCTTTCTTTTCCTTTATTCTCCCAATACCGGCAGCTGTTGAATCCGATTGCGTAATATCATGTAGGGAAGAATGACGGCGCACGTATTGCGCAATAACGTTTGCGATACTTTGCAGAGATAATAATTTGATTTCGGTCCGAGATTGTTTATAACACTGAAAAGAAGTTTTACTGTGTTGCAAAGCAGAATATTTTCTGTTCCGTTGGTTTGTTTATATGATGCCATATCGAATGTCAAAAGCATTTATATAGCGGAAAATCTAAATATCTGGAAGGGATATATGTTGCAATATCTGTTAAGGAAAACTGATATACGATTAAAATTGAAAATGTCCAGAATTTAGATTAAATAGTTAAATTTCATATGAGTGGGAAAATGAATTGTATTTATTATAAGTTCCAAGCGGATAGAATAATATGCCTTATTATTATTATTTCCTCTATTTGAACTGAAATTTCATCATTAAATCTTGTAATATAGTTTAGTTCTGCACAGTTTTTTCTCTCATTGTAAACTAGTTCTGTAAATTGAACTGTTGTTTAAAATAAAAATACTATTTTTTAACTAAATGTGGCTATGAACCCTGCGCGCGGAGCGCGACGTGTCCTGCTCAATGATGGAATTAGCCGTATGGGCACATGACGGTAAAAAAAAGGACGGGCTAAGGAGGCATCGGAGGTAGGTGACCATGCGTCACAAGGGGAGAAATACCAGGAGAGGTGGTGTC